ACAAATTAGGAGGAATGCTCAAAAAAGTCACGAGGGGACTGAAGCAATGAAAGTTCACAGTAACAGAATTTTGGAACTTCTCCATAACAAATGTTTACTTATACATTTTAGTGGCAGAAAACTGTTTCAAAATCTAACAGAGCAGTATCCTTAGCACAAGTTCCTCCGGAAAAGACTGAACCAAAAGCGAAGCGAACAGAAAATCCAAAAAGCTTGCTCACTTTTCCTGACACGAAGATTAGCAATACCACACGCGGTTTGACCATACGATAAATCAGTCCAGGAAACAACTCCGGTTCGTAAGTGCTGAATTGAGTGTGGGTCACACATAATCCTTCTAATTGGATGGGGAAGCGAACATCGCATGAACCAACCATATTTTGCACCTATAATACCAATAACAGTCGGATACTTACATTATCTAGATCTCAACATAAAACACCTATTTGAAAACCGACGGATCACAAATGCTTTCGGCCGACAATAGTGAGAAAAAAAAATGACGGATTGGAAGGGAGCTTACCTTAAACTCCGTAAACTTGGCGTCGAATCCTAATTTTTGAACAATTCTAGCATATTTTCGGGCAGCTAGTCTATAAGAAAAAGAAGACTCTCTAAAATAAAATATAGGTAAACTTTCTTTGCTGAATAACGTACCTGCTAGCATCTTCCGACTTTGCACCAGTGCAAACCATTTTGCCACTAGAAAATATGAGAGCAGTTGTACGCGGCTCACGAATGCGCATAATCACAGCGGCGAAACGCTTTGGATTATATTCCGCATTGCGCGCATGCAAAGCTATCTTCTTTAGGTCTAATGGTACACCTGGATAAAAGGGCGGGGATAAAGCATTAAATATTGAATCGAAACAAAATCACAAACCCAGATTGACCGTAGAAACGATGTTTTGTAACGTGGGCATGGGAATGTCGATGGCACTGGCAGGAGTAGCTGGCATCATAGCCGCAGGCAGATTCGATGCAGGCATATGGTTTGCATCTCGATAGCTTTGCTAAAAGTCAGAAAATTAGATAAAATGAATGATGAGAATAGTTGCGAGATAGTATAGAGGGATTGCTTGTAAATAAAAGAAATCAACAACCTGTTCAAAATTCAAAGGTGTCATTGGCACAGCTAGATTGGGTCCAACTGATCCAGGATTCATGTCCTGAAACTTCAGTGAATCGTTAGAAGAATGGTGAAAAAAACTTACTAAAGAGTTCTTACTTTCCTTTTCTCTTCTGCTCTTTCAATTTTTTTGAACTATGCCAAACACAAATAAACTTTTTGTTCGAACAGATATACAGATGCTACCAGGCATGTATTAAGTGTGTCTTAGTGTGCTTAACCATTTTAGATAAGGATAGTTCTTGCCCTCACTTCCTACTCACGTTTCTTCGTTTAGAATCAGCAAAATTAAAAAGCACGTTAAATATGCACTATGCAAGAAAATTGATAAGAGAAGTACAATATACCGCTAGAAAAACGAAAAATTATCTTGGACCTGAAAAACGGATCCTGGATTTCCACCAACATTAACGACAGATGATGGATTGATGTTGAGATTCAAATTCATATTACTTCCACGATCTTGCGAGGCGAAACCAACCATGGATCCAGGTCCGCCATGACTGCTATGCATCATACCTAAAAAATCATGCCGTCTACTTGAGGCGCACAAGGTCTGAAAAAATCTTCGATTCATACTTTGTTGTTGATGAGATCCACCTATCATTGAAGACGGTCCTAGAAGACTATTAGGTCCAACGATGCTGGATGGGCCCATGATGGAGCCAGGACCTAGAACAGAGCCAGGCCCTCCGTGCTGACCGAGCACCGACCCAGGACCTCCATGACCACCTTAACGAATGTAAAAACAAGGTACGCTTGCGAGTGACTACAAGCTGTAACTCTTTTGAAAATCAAAAAATTACTAGTGAAAAATGGGATCTGAAAAATTTCTCAAGATCTGGATAACCGATAACAGTTCACAAACCTAATATTGAAGCAGGCCCATGTGCTGGAGTTTCGCCTCCAAGACCACCCAGTACTGAAGGATGTGGACTGTTCATATTCATTGCTGAACAGAGATTAAACCCTGGAAATGAAGAAGTATCTCCTAAAAGTATAGCACAATCACAAAAATGAGGTATTCAATGATTTCAGGGAACTCGCTATACAAAATAGGAACTCAAAATCGTTTATCACTATGGTATTAGAACGATTTATCTCTCTAAAATAAGAAGTTAACAATCAACAACCAACAAAGAAAACAACAAAATTAACAACTATGCACAAATGGTGATTTAACAGTTTCTTGAGATTTACATATTAAGTACACCAAAATTTCTCATAAGTCAAATTAAACGAATTTTCTGGAAAAAGATGGCCAGCAGGTGCAGTGAAATTTATAGGAATCCCATGTTCTCTATGTTCCTGGAACGAGTAAACTCCGTAATTACTAATTACGAGATCTATGGAGACAGGCTTACTTCATGTGCTCTGGCAAATTTTCCCCTCTTTTGCATGGCGTTTCTTTTACGAGGAACTTCTTCATCGTCTGAGCCATCCTGAAAA